CATATTACTCCTCACTCAAAACCCTCTAATTACATCCTAACATAACCTAGAATAAAATCTCCAATCCTTACCATGGCCTACATGGTCCTACATGTGCTGACTTCCGCTTTCTCCAACCTGCTTTCAAATGCTCTCCTCGATCACTCCACCCCAGATACCCAGGGCATTCTTCCCATGTCCCAAACATGAAAAGCCTCTTGCATTTGCCATTCTCTGTATATTCCTCCAGAATTTACATGGTCCATTCCCTCACCTCACTCAGGCTTCTGCTCACATGTCACCTCTTCAAAGAGGCCTTCCCAGGCACCCTATGTAAAATTGACTCTACCCTTCATGGAGAAGAGAATTAAAAATTAAGAATTGAGGAACTGGCTGCCCACAAGACTGTCTGAGAAATGAGTAAGTATGCAGTGTGAAGATGAGTCGTGTTCTGATTGAGCAAGACCACACTGTTAATTACTGAGATACGTCCTCCTTCATAACAACCCAAGTTTTCAAACTCGAAAAGGACAGATTTTGATGTTCTTATTTCCACAGAATCCTCCAAACAAGGCCACCCTATTTATTACTATTTTCCAGAATACAAAGCAGAGTGAGGAAGATGTTTTAACTGGTCAGAATGAAGTAATAACTCAAACCAAAATCTGGGGTGGACTATGTATCAAAAAGAGATTACCTGGAGGTTTCTGCTTTCAGGATGGCTGAAGAAGCTCCTACCAGACCCAAACCTCCTGCAGATGGTAACTATAAACTCTGGACAAAAATACCAAGAAAGCAATTACCTGAAGGCGAGCAGAAGGTGGCAAATTCCAGAGCGGAGCTGAAATTAAGGAAGGAATTACCAACATGAGTAGAATCACTGTTGCTTTTACCCTGACAGTAGGCCAGAGTCAGCACCATGCAGAACAGCTAAACTCACATACAACATCCAAGTCTTTCTAGACTAAAGAACAGTAGGGAAGAGTTTGGGGCAAAAACAGCCCTCGGAAAGAAAGGAGATTACAGAAAAGAGAGCGCCAGAGAGAGGGAGCTCCAAGTTCTATGTATAAACTACCCAGTCTCTAGCCCACCTCTAAACCATGTGTGCATGCTTGGTGCTGTCTGTAAGGAGACCAACAAAAGATAAAAGGATTGAACTAATAACATTTGAGCTGCTGCTCCAGAGACAGAACTTGCAGTCTGAGTCCAACAGAATAAATTACTTGTGAAAACTAAAATATCAGTACTTTTCAGAGAAATAAAACAAAATCCACGGTCTTCACAATATAACATTCAAACTATACAAAACTATGTGATGTACCAAGAACCAGGAAAACATGACCCTCAAGAAAAAGCAAATCAGTTAAAACAAATCCACCAAGTGACCTATATGTTGGAATCAGCAGAAAAAGATGCTAAAGTAGCTATTATAACTATGTACAATAAAGTATACTCAGAATGGAAAAAAAAAAAGAGAGAGAGGAAATCTCAGCAGAGAAACAGAAACTATTATTTTAAAAACATAGATATTCTGGAACTGGAAAATACAACATTTGCAATTTAAAATTAATTGGATGCGCTTAACTGTAAGATGACACAAAAGTCTGTGAAGTTGATAAATCAAGAGAAATTATCAAAACTGCAGAATAGAAAAAAAAAGGTTAAAAAAATGAACAAATACTGAGAATTGTGGGACAAAATCAAAATGTCTAATATGCATATAATGAAGCCCCCAAAGGAGAGGAGAGAAAGAACGGAAAAGAAAAAAATATCTGAATAAGTAATGAAGTAAAAATTTCCCAATATATGATGAAAAACAATTGACAGATTTAAGCAGCTTAGTGAATCCCAGTCAGAACACAAATCAAAGAAAACCATACCAAGGCATATCATACTCAAACTGCTGAAAACCAAATAGAAAGAAAAAGTCTTAAAAGCAGCCAGAGAAAAAGAACATATTCCATATGGGGAAACAAAAATTTGAAAACCACTGACATACCATCAGAAACAAGGGAGACCTAAAAACAGTGGAACATCTTTAAGATGCAATGAAAGTGGTCGTACCCAACCCAGCAAGTTTTTGGAAGGACTAGCTTTCAAATCCCTTGGCATAATACTTCTCTCCACTTGACTTCCATTAGATAGTCTTTGTTGTTATGTTCCCAGAGCTAAGGAATCTGATTCAACTGTTTACAAAGCAGGCAAGAGACAGAGCAGTCACCCACCATCACCACGTCCGTTCAGCAGCCCCACACCATTCTGAAGAGACAGCTACTTCAACTAAAGGCACTTCCCCTATCTCTCTGGGTAGAGTCCAGTCACCTTGCCCAGGCCCTATCCCATTTGAACTGAAGAGAATTAAAGCATTCAGGGCAAGAGTATCCAAGGATGGTGGCAGTAAAGATCACATTTACTCTAAGCCGTTTCCAATGTAGTTTCCCCTTTGTTATCTAAATAATAGACAAGAATGAGGAATTTTAATATACAAATACCAGTAGGCACCCCTAAGACAACCCCTCTATACTAAAAACCTAGGGCTCAATAGATTTCATAGCCCACAAAATATTTAACATTTATGCATAATGCTTAGATGAGAACTTGAGCACAAGAGAAGCACAAATTGCCCATCATTTTCTGAAATGGTATGTGGGTTCCTGGGTTGATTCAAATATGCTGATTTCAAATCATTTTTCCTGAAGGACTGGAATCTGAGAGATTTCCTGGGAATCACCCTACTGCTCATTTTAGAAAGACCTGTTAATTATAATATAATGGATAGGTTAAGTCTGCATCTCAGGTAGCAAAACTACTCCATGAGTCTCAGTTTCCACAGATATAAATAGTGCCATTTCATAATAGTGCCATTTCTCCAGAGGGAAGAGAGCTGCCGGTCCCTTCCAGTCTCAATACCTGGTAATGTTGGCTCTATGCCCAAGAGGCCAGCAATTAAACCACTGCCCAAAAAAACCTGCTTCTCTTAAATAGAAAGCACAGTCAAAATATTTAGAGAATACAGTGAATTCTCCAGCTTGAAACTGTTTTCTCTTTTTCAGAAGAACTAGAAAAAACTGGTATCGCTAATATGAGCAAGCTATTCAGAATGGCCTCCCATTTGGGAGGTTTCTGGCATTTTCCAACTAGGCATTGTATTATTGCAATGAGCTGCCCAGTAATCAAAGAGGACTACTTATTTCCCACCAGAGTTAAAAGAAAGGATTAGTTCTGGTAAGTTCTCCAACAAATTTCAGTCATTGTTAACAAGGTGGCGTTGGCTTCTCTACATCCCTACCAAATTCAAAGAAAACTCAGGAAAAATGGAAAACAAAGGCTGCTTTATTATTCTATTTGAGCAGCATCCACCTTTCACAAAACAAATGTTTTTTTTTTCTTTTAATTTCAGTGACATTTAAAAAGTTGTAACAGAGAAAGAAAAAAGTGAAATTTATTTGGAAAGAAATCTATATAAAGAAATCTTCCCATTCACAATACTTTTCTTAATATACAAGATAAATTCTGGGATCAAAAGTTTTTAGAACCGTACATAGTCTGAAGAGGCTCGGATTATAAATTCACTTAAAAAAAAAAAAAGACTAGCAGCGATAGAAAGAAAATTTAAAACAAACAGTTATATAGGAGAAGGTAAGCAGTAACAGTTATGAAACAAAGGGAAATTATGCAGAGGATAGAAGAAGGGAGTCAAAGTTGTCCATAACACAGGCGGCATATCCATACCGCCTTCCATCTTCTTGGACATGAAGGGATAAGTAGGAATCAAACGATTATTGGGTACCTTTCTAGATTCCTTACTTGTATTATTTTATTTTCCTCTCTAATCCTTAAGTCAAAAAAGTTAATTAACTCATCAAAGATCACAAAATTGACTACTTAATCCCAGATCTTTATTACTCCCAAACTCATACTGCCCTATTATGCCATGCTGCTGCCCAGAAAATATTTCACACGAATCAGTTTCTTGCTGATATAATTTTAAAAACCAGTCTAGCATAAACATTCCCCTTCTAAACGGATTCTTCCTAAAAAAATACACTAATTTTCCTAAGCAAGCTTCTAGCAATACAGGGCCCATCGGAACTTCTGCCTGTCTTTGCTACCTTTTTCTGGAAAACATCTATGCCACAGGGTAACTAGTGGCAGTTTGTTTGCTTACAACTTGCTCTAAGGCCTCACATTTAAGATAAATGGGTCATCTTCTAGATTGCCAAATTTATGCCAGAAGGTGGAGAAACAAAGTCCTCAGAACTAAAGCCCTATCCTGCATAATTGACTAGTATTTTTCCTGTAAAATATGGCATCCAAATCATGACAGATAAGACAAGGTAAAGAATGAGAAAGAACCCGTGAGAGACTATAGAAAAGGTTCAGGATCTCCAATTCTCAAATATTTCAAACCCCAACTCCAATCTTCCAAAAAACCTCTACAATGTCCTGATAAAGAAACGGATCTTCTTGCTAAATCTGGGAGGTGACTGAAACTGGAATCAGACACACTAAAGCTCAGCTCGTCCATGATTTGTCATGATTATGACCTTGGGTAAAAGAGTTAACCTCTCTAAGTCTCAGTTTCCACAGATATAAAGTGAAGAAACCATAATAATGATGTAAGTTCCATAAATCCTAAATTACACTGCCTGGGTCATTTGCACTTCCTAAGTATTAGCTTTGTCATCATCATTCTCATCAACATCTTTGTTATGACATGGAAGACATCAACAGGGCAACCAAGGGGCTTTTGTAAACCTTCATGGAGCCAATACTGATTTCAGTTTTGGTGAGTCTTAGCAGATTTAGGAAGTGAGTAGCAGAGATGGAACTGGCAAGGCCTGAAAAGACCGAAAAAGAAGCAAGGAGAAATTCCACGGGGAAAGGAAATCTGTATAGTTAAAAAAAAAAAAAAAAAAAAAAAAATTATCTCTACAAAGATACACATATATATTTGGAAAAGGGATTACGAGTGAAATGCTATCTCATGCAGTAAAACAAACTGCTCATTTTTCTATTACCATGATGGGGACGCCAATGTCAGGCCACAGAAGGTCCTCCGACGGTAGCTTGGGAGAATTCCATACCACCACCACCTTGTTCAGGTAAGGGAGGCCATTCAGTCTCTCTAGAGAGTTCATAAGCACTTCCTCCCGCTCATAGGTCAACATCACCACTGTGAACTGCTCTCGTGGAACATTGCCTCCAAGTGCTGCCTGAAACTCCTTGCCAGAACCCCCAGCTCCACCCCCAATAGGCCGAAATCCAGTCCCTGAGCCCAAGAATTTGGCCTCTGAGGGCAACACAGGGTCAAAGGGTGTGTGGGGGAACAGATGGAAAGGCCCCGGAGCAGAGTTCCAGCTGCGGTAAAAATCAGTGACAGTCAAAGTAAAGTTGCGGAGGTATTTGGGTGAGGCATAAGGCGGCTCCGTCTCCACTGGCCCCAGGTCCAGGTCCCCATTGTCGGCCATGTTAGGGTCAGTTCCAGCCGCCTTGCCTGACCGATGGGGGATCTCAGCTGCTGCCTCTTCCCGGATGGGAGCAGCTGGGATCTGTATGCGAGTCCTAATCATAGCCAGCACGGTATTAAAAATACTGTCAGTGGTTGAGAAGTAAGTCTCCCAGAGAAAGCGGCCTTGCCGCCGCATAGCCAGCAGATCACTATCTGAGAGGCTTCGTAACAGAAAATGAACCTCGGTAACACGCGGCTTGGGCACCACCAGGGCTGCCTCATTCCACTGCAGCATGTCCTGGTAAGGAAGCTGTACTTGCTCCCCTAGCACAACTGGGACAGCACCAACTTCCAGGGCTTCAAAGAGCCGTGTTGCACACCCAGATGAAATAACCAAGTGAGGGTCCCCAGGAGTGATAATGAGAGCGAAGGTGGAAAGCTTCAGTAATTCCAAGCGGTCCTCACGCTCACCACACAGTGCCCACTCTGTAGGCAGACTGGGTTTAGGCTGGTTTTTGCAGGTAAATTCTACCAGGACCTGATCTAGCCTGCTGTCCTGCACAGCCTTTAAGGTGGCAATGATACGATCATCGTAGTCGGCTGGAGGGTCACCTTCCATTTCTTCTTCAAAGGAGCGGGCCTCCTGAAGGCTGGATCTCAGTGATTCAATCTTCTCACCCTGGAAGGTGAAAAGATATTTCCGCTTAACTGGCACCTGTGGTGGGATTTCCATGAAGTTGGGCTCCGACATGGCATGCACTAGTGGCGATACTACCAAGTCAAAGCCAGGTCTGTACTGGGAAGCATAGAAAGTAGACTGAGCCACCATGGCACGGCCTGTGCTGACATTATATAGTAAGTTCTGTGTATCCGACTTCCGTGACAGATTGATGATGACATGGTTGTGTCCATCTGTCCGCCAATGTGGTAAAGAAGAGAGCTGCTTCTCAAGTTCGGCAGGCCGAAGCACTACTGGCTCTTGTATTTCTCCCACTAGTATCACATAAAGGCAGGCAATGTCTGCATTTTCTGTAACATACACATTGGCTCGTGCTGTAGCCTGAAAAGCCTGCTTGACCAAGGGATCCAGATAGCTGCCAAAGGCAAACTGGTCACTGTCATATACATAGACTGGAAAACCGGAGGTGAGAGGACAGCGAGAATAATCGAAACAATTGTGCAGCCGGCATCCCCGTATGACCTTTGGGGGAGGAAGACCAGCATCATCCTTCTCTGGAAGCAGTCGGATAGGCAGAGAAAGTTTGGGCTGATTTTGCGCCATCAGCTCTTTATAAGAGTGCTCAGTCTGGCTAATAACATTCTTGAGCTGAAGCAGGTCCTGCTTGGCATTCTCAATACTCTTCTTACAGGCTTCAATCTTCAGATTCAGCTTGGCAATTTCACTGTTCAGCTCTTGCCGCTTGGCTTCCAGCTGCAAGAGCTCCTCACTTACAGACTCACGAATCCGGCAAAGATCCAGCACGTGCTTTACCTCACATAGTTCATTACCAGCCCTTGGGCCAAAAATCCGCTTGCCTGCCTCATCAGCCTCATCCAGAGTGGTGAGATAATAGTGAGCAATCAGAGGGAAGAACACCAGAATAATGAAGAGCGTAAAGCTGAGCCATGTGAGTCGGATCCGGTTGGACCACCGTAACATACAGGTTTGACCTCCATTCCCCACTCCCCCATTCCGCAACATGGTATAGCCCGTCATGAGTTCCTGTGTGGCTTTTGCCCCCTCTAATCACGTTGGGTCACTCGCCATAACCGTGAGTTTCTATTAGACAAACTCAATCTCTTTTCAGTCACACCTTTCTGTTAAGAGTTAGTGTGCTTCCTACACAAGGCACGGAATAAAATGGAAATTTCATTTTCCTCAGCTGTAATTGAAATGGTCTCTGACCTTATTCCAGCAGATTTTAAGTTCTGGTTGCTGACCAATGGACATGTCCTTACTCTTTATCGAATGGTAAAAGATACCACACTGTTGATGAGATGAAAAGGAGAAGGTCTCTGATGATGAAACCCAGGAAAAATAACCTGAAATCAGACAGACTTTTTCAACTGCCATAGCTCTTGTTCCTTGGCTTTGCTGACCAACAAATACGCATAGTTACTATTCACAGTTATAAAGTAGCTGGTTAGAACAGAAAGAAATGCCAGCCTCTTATCGATGTCATTGTCAACAATCAGGCCTGCAAAAGAAAGAGAACCATGTCAGTCTTGAAAAGATTATGTCCAACAACCCGCCCTCCCTCAGTTTCTAGAAAATGCTTCTAACTTAAAAGGTAAAGGAACAGCTGGAACACTGGGTGTGTGTCTCACAGAACGATTTTAAGTTCAGCTCACGTTGCATTCGGTATGGATATTTTCCTTGTGGTTAATTAGAAATGGATAAGGATAAGTGTCTGAAAACAGCTTCAGATTTTACACACACAGACATACATACCCCTTCCTCCTATTTAACTGGATATAGAGCAGAATTAGAGCCTATAAAATGAAGATCAACTATATTCAACAGAGTGCAAAGATGTCTGCAACAATTTTTATTCAAGACTAAGGCAGAATCTTTAGATGGAGAGAAACACCATCCTATCCAGCCTTGATAGCCAGGTTTATTCCTAAGATGAGTCTCCTTTTGAATTACTTAAAAAAAAAAAAAAAAAAAAAAAGGCTCTGAGAAGTTCAATGTTTTATATTCAGAGTTGAAACGAATTGAAGAGAACTCTTTTGATCTTTACCCAGTAGTAGGTGTATTAATCCAGAGACAAAATGTATTTCCCAGCTTGCTTCTCATTTATCTTCTGCTAACAGACATCATGTGCTCCTTCTTAAAATATAAATAGTAACTTGGTCTTTTAGAAAGACTTCTATACTTAGAAATGAGGGCTATTATTTCTTCTCCTTTGGAGACAGATTTGCTATCAAACCTTATACCTCAGTTTCCTAATCTCCCAAAATGGAGAGAAGTGTACTGAGACAGAAACAATATATTGTGTTGCTATGACAAGAAAGGGCAAAAGATGCGAGGGTACTTTCAGCTAATAAATCTTGAAACAACATTCCCACTCCTGTTCATTTACCAAACTTTACTATCAGCGGCTACAAAAGCTTTTCACTTGCTTTCATCCCAAACTTAACATATGTAGAACTGAATTCCTAATATTCTGTGCCAAAGAATATTCCCAATTTCTTTCATTCACTTCCTCCAAAAAGTATTTACCATACTCTTAACATGCCTAAGACATGTTCAGTGTAACTGTGGAAGAAGCTAGAATGCAAAATAATCTTTGACCTTGTGCAACCTCCTTTAACCTAAGATATAAGATATATGTGAACAGCAGGGATACTGCTACAAGGTAGTATAATGTATGTAGCCCATCAACAGGTCTCATTTCACAAACTTCTCTCTAGCTTCTATGTTTGGTAGAGATGTAAAATTATTAAAGTTTGGATACAATCTTCTCTCCTTTAAATAAAAAATGTTGCCAATATTAATAAAAGGCTTGAGTAAGCAGAACAAGAGATAAGGACGACAGAAAACAAAAACTACTGATCACAAAAAAGCTTAAATTTGATGGATCAAACCTTGGATAAAGAGCTAAGCAAATATCGCAGAGAACGTAAGTCAGTATTTCTAAAGCATTATCTTTCTAATTCAAATGTTAAAAATCTGTTTCCAAAAGAGTACTCTCTGTACCTTACAATCAAATTATAACAAAGAAAGAAGGAAGTGGAGAAGATAAAGGAATGCATAATCAAGGAAGTTCAGTTGATTCAGTCCCTCCTTACCATATGTTTCTGGATCCTTCCTTTTTCTAACTCATGCAGCATTTTACTTCAGTATAATAATTTCTTGAAATAGTGAACTCCAGGTCCAGGGTTTGCTCTCCTGATAGAAAACAGAAAGGTGACATGCTATTAGAAAAATACTCAATACTGGGGCGCCTGGGTGGCTCAGTCAGTTAAGTGTCTGCCTTCGGCTCAGGTCATGATCCCGGGGTCCTGGGATGGAGCCCTGCGTTGGGCTCTCTGCTCAGTGGAGTGCCTGCTTCTCCCTCACCCTCTGCCTACTTGTGCTCTCTCTCTGTCAGATATATAAATAAAATCTTTAAAAAAAGAAATGAAAAATACTCAATACTAAAGGTGCTTACTGAAGGGGGAAGATGCCGGAGGAGTAAGAGAACCCTAGGCTTGCCTCATGGTCCTATGAACACAACTAGATAACTGCCAAATCATCCCAATAACCCAGAAATTGACCTGAAGACTGGCAAAACAAACTCCACAACTAAAGGTAGAAAAGAAACCACACAAAGAAGGTATGAAGTGCAGAGACGCAGTTTGGGAGAGAAATGGATCCTGGTCACTGCAGTGGGCAGGGAGCCACTGTGGCAAAGAAGGGCAAGAGACAGACTAGCACCCACATGTGGAAGACAAATTCCTGTAGCAATGGCTTGGAAAGCAAGAGGGGCCAAATTTGATGAGTTCTTGCAAACAGTGGGGCTTAAAGCCTGGAGTTTTAAAAGCCCGCAAGCTTGGCTCAGGGAGAGCCTAGTGGGCATTGGGACTATTCTTGGAGAGAAGGCAGGGCAAACAGCCCATGGACATATAGTGTGGAAACATCAATCTCAAGAGCGCCTGGGGCACACAGCGGGGAAGTTGTTTGCTCATCCAAATGGCAGTGTTTGCAGAGAGACCTGTCCAGGAATGAAGGAACTGCCCTGCACCACCACCCCTGCCCCCGCCACTCAGCATGAGCACAGGGTCACCTACAGAACCAGCACACCCCTCCCTGCCTAACTTGCTTACACCAAGTCATACAGCCCCCGGTGAGCTCCAGTGGAACTGTCCTTCCCAATCAGGCTTGCCTCAATCCCAGCATATTGGGCCCCCTACCCCTAAAGACTGGCACAACCTCCTGCCCACAACACATCTCCTGACCTGGGAGTTTTGCAGGGCCTCCGTTCAGGCAACAAGTAGGAACAGGTCTCATTTCACAAGCCAACCAGAGCACATTTAGTAAAATCTTGTCACATTCAGGCCAGGGACCAAACATTGCTCACAACAGGCAAAGACAGCTTCTGCAGATGACTGGCCTGAAGGATAAAGTAACCAGAACACAATAGCAGGGCGCAGGCAGCACACAATGGAGACACTACGTGAAGTGCCAGGCAACAAGGGACACTGCACTACAGGGCAGTACTAGACCTCTTCTTCCTAAGGCCATTACTCTCAAGAACAGGAGGCATAACTGATCTTCCGAACACAGAGAAACAGGCACAGAGACTTAGAAAAAAATGAGATGACAGAGGTTATGTGTCCTAGAGGAAAGAGCAGGACAAGGCCACAGCCAGAGATATAAGTGAAACAGATATAAGTAACATGTCTGATAGAGAATTTAAAGTAATGATCATAAAAATACTCGCTGGACTTGAGAAAAGAGTGGAAAGCATTAACAGGACGATTAACACAGAGTTAAGGAATAGCATAGCAGAAATAAAGGGCTCAATAAACGAAATAAGAAGCATACTTGATGGAATGAACAGCAGGCTGGAAGAAGCAAAAGAACAAACTAACAAAATAGAAGGCAGAATAATGGAAAGTAATCAAGCTGAACAAAAGAGAGAAAAAAGAACTATGCCAAACGAGAATAGATTTAGGGAACTTAGTGACTCCATCAAATATAATCACATTTGTATCATAGGGGTCCCAGAAGAAGGAGAGAAAAGGGGGCAGAAAATTTATTTGAAGAATAAGAGCTGAAAACTTCCCTAATCTGGAGAAGGAAAGATATCCAGATCCAGGAAGTACAGAGAACCATGAACAAAATAACAGAATCGACAGCAAGAGATACTGTAATTAAAATGGCAAAATGTAGTGATAAAAAATTTTTTAAACAGCAAGACAAAAGAAGACAGTAACAGAAGGGAAGCCCCATAAGGCTTCATTGGATTTGTCAGCAGAAACTGTGAAAGCCATGGGAGTGGCATGATATATTCTAAGTACTAAATGGGAAAAATCTCCAGCCAAGAATACTCTATCCAGCCAAGAATATTCTATCCAGCAGAGCTATCATTCAGAATAGAAGGGGAGATAAAGAGTTTCTTAGACAAACAAAAACTAAAGGAGTTCATGACCACTAAACTAGCCCTGTTAGAAATATTAAAGAGGATTCTCTGAGTGGAAAGGAAAGACCAAAAGTGGCAGTATAAAAGTAGGAAACACAAAAGCAGTAAAAAAAATGATTTCTGTAAAAATTCAGTTAAGGAACTCACAAAATAAAAAGATGCAAAGTATGACACCATATACCTAAAATGTGGGGAGGAGAGGAGTAAAGAATGGTTCAAACTTAAATGACCACCAACTTAATGTAGACTGACATATGCACAAGATGTTATATATAAACCGAATGGTAAGGATGCCTGGGTGGCTCAGTTGGTAAAGCATCTGCCTTCGGCTCAGGTCATGATCCCAGGGTCTTGAGATCAAGTCCCGCACAGGGTTCCCTGCTCAGTGGAGAGCATGCTTCTCCCTCTGCCTGCTCTTTGTGTTCTAACAAATAAATAAATAAAAATCTTTTAAAAGTCAGTAAGTAAATAAACCTATTGGTAACCACAAATCAAAAACTACTAATATATATACAAAGAATAAAGAGAGAGGAATCCGAATATATCACTAAAGAAAACTAGTGAACCATGAAAGAGAAAGAAAAGCCTCAGAGAAAAACTTCAGAAACAACCACAAAACAAGGACTAAAATGGCAATAAATGCATATCTATCAAAAATATACAATATATTGTTGTAATATATTATATATATATACACATAGAAAACCCTAAAGACTATACCAAAAAACTACAAGAACTACATATATATAACCAGCTGAGCCATAATATATATATTATATATATATAATAATTCCATTGTGTGTGTGTGTGTGTGTGTGTGTGTGTGTGTGTGTGTGTGTGGAATATTATGCAGCCATCAAAAGGAATGAAATCTTGCCATTTGCAATAACGTGGATAGAACTAAAGGGTATTATGCTAAGCAAAATAAGTCAATCAGAGAAAGACACGTATCATATGATCTCACTGATATGAGGAATTCTTAAATCTCAGGAAACAAACTGAGGGTTGCTGGAGTGGTGGGTGGTGGGAGGGATGGGGTGGCTGGGTGATAGACACTGGGGAGGGTATGTGCTATGGTGAGTGCTGTGAATTGTGTAAGACTGTTGAATCACAGACCTGTACCTCTGAAACAGATAATACATTATATGTTAAAAAAAAAAAAAAGATGGTAGGAAGGGAGAAATGAAGGGGGGGAAATCGGAGGGGGAGACAAACCATGAGAGACTAAGGACTCTGAGAAACAAACTGAGGGTTCTAGAGAGGAGGAAGGTGGGGGGATGGGTTAGCCTGGTGATGGGTATTAAAGAGGGCACGTATTGAATGGAGCACTGGGTGTTATACGCAAACAATGAATCATAGAACACTACATCAAAAACTAATGATGTAACGTATGGTGATAACCTAATAAAATAAAATTAAAAAACAAACAAACTCCCAAAGAATGAAAGTCCATGACCAGACAGCTTCAAAGGCAAATTCTACCAAACATTTAAAGAAGAGTTAATACTGATTCTTCTCAAACTATTCTAAAAAACTAGAAGAAGGAAAACCTCCAAATTCATTGTATGAGGCCAGCATTACCCTGATACCAAAACCAGATAGACACGACAAAAAAAAAAAGAACTATAAGCCAATATCTTTGAACATCAATACAAAAATCCTCACAAAATATTAGTAAACAGAATCCAACAAGACATTAAAAACTCATTCACTACAATCAAGTAGGATTTAATCCCAGTATGCAATGGTGGTTCAATAGCCACAAATCAATCAACATCATATATAATATTAGTAAGAGAAAACACCAAACCCACATGATCAGCAGAAAGATAAATTAAGGAATCAGTCACATTTACAGTTGCACCAAAACCAGTAAGATGCCCAGGAATAAACCTAACCAAAGAGGTGAAGACCTGTACTCTGAAAACTATAAAACACTGATGAAAGACACTGAAAATGACACAAAGGAATGGAAAGATAGTCCATGCTCATGGATTGGAAGAACAAATATTGTTAAAATGTTTATACTACCTAAAGCAATCTACATATTTAATGCAACCTCTACCAAAATACCAACAGCATTTTTCACATAACTAGACCAAAAAAAAAAAAATCCTAAAATTTACATGGAAACATAAAAGACCCTGAATTGCCAAAGCAGTTTTGAAAAAGAAAACCAAAGCTGGAGGTATCACAATTCCGGACTTCCAATTTATATTATAAAGCTGTGGTAATCAAAACAGTATGGAACTGGCACAAAAACTACAAACACACAGATCAATGGAACAGACTAGAAAACCCAGAAATGAACCCACAACTGTATGGTCAATTAATCTTCAACAAAGCAGGAAAGAATATCCAATGGGAAGAAGACAATCTCTTGAACAAATGCTGTTGGGAAAACTGGACAGCAACATGCAAAAGAATGAAACTGGACCATTTCTTACACCATCCACAAAAATAAACTCAAAACTGATTAAAGACCTAATCCAAATGTAAGACCTGAAACCATAAAAATCCTAGAAGAGAGTATAGGCAGTAAGGTCCTGACCATCAGCCATTGCAACATTTTTCTACATATATCTCCTGAGGCAAGGGAAACAAAAGCAAAAATAAACTATTGGGACTACATCAAATAAAAACTTTCTGCACAGCAAGAGAAACAATCAATTAAACCAAAAAGCAACCTATGGAATAGGAGAAGTTATCTGCAAATGACGTATCTGATACTGGGTTAGTATCCAAAATATATAAAAAAAAAAAA